CTTCCAAGCAAACAATGCGAGATGCCGAACTATAGTGAAAGTGGTTGTTGCGGATGCTCCACATCAGCATGTTGGCATGTCTTTGTGAACACGTTAGCATGCTAATGCTCACTGGGCCTCAGTACCGAGCTGCCAACACGCCAGCAAAATCATAATAATTGAATTTCCGCTATTGTACGCTGCCACCTTATCATTGTATATTAGCATCATAAGTGCGGCATATGCTTAATACAATGATTAACAAATAAACAAGAAGCAATTTACATGCAAAACAAGCGTTTGGATGTGATTTGTTTGCGGGGAAATACTGAATAACGAGTGAGCAATGAATAATTGAGACAACTGGCTTTTCGCACACGCGCTCCGTTTCAAATCAATAGTCTCACTTTTATTGCATCACTAACCCAGAACGCTATCTTCTCTTCTCGGGTTGCTCCGGAGTTCAGCACAATTTCCTTTAATCAGGCAATCAATCACTATTAAATCTGTGTGCCACAGCAGCACGCAGCAGGCAGATGTGGCCCCCAGCGAAAAACTACAGTGCCTAAATTGGGGCTGACACACACTTGTGTGAACCCCGTGACTCAGTAGATGTCGCCGGAGCTCACGGAGCATTTTGCCTTTTTCATAGTCGACAAGGGGGTGGCACCAAGCAGCTCCACTGACACGTCTTTTCACAAGAAATTACAGAGAGAAAACGCTCGGCGGAAATTGCACGTCTCTGTCACTGTCACTTTGCATATAATACAATATAATCAGATCCTTTTTAGGACCCCACTTGTTCGGCAAAGTGATGGCGCAGTCGTTTTGTCTCCAACAGGCCATTGTGTTGGCAAGTACAAATGCTGTGACCGTGCTGGAAATCCTGCAGAAATTATGTAAAAGAAATGTTTAAATACTGTCAAAGCCGGAGACAACGTCAAGAACCCTACATTTACACGCGTGTGTGTGCGTGCGTGTGTGCGTGCACGTGTGTGTATGCACCGTATTACACACACACAGCTCTATTTGGCTTTGGCATAAAAGATTGAATGAGACGATCTGGCACAGGAGGGGAATAATCAGAGCAATGCTGTGGTCCTCAGAGGTCTGTTATTGAATGCATAACAATGGCGCTAGATTGGAATTGATGATGGCTTTGAGGACTAAGTCCCTCCTTCCCATTCACTTATTTGCTCCACGGCGACCTCTGACACGTGCCGAATTGTCAACGACGCGGCAACACGCCACGTTGCGAGCGGTGAAAACATGTGCGTTCATTCCAGAAGAAAATGCCTTCCTGTGTCTCTGATTGAAAACTCAAGGCGCCGTCATGCTTCTGCAACTGCAGCTGCGGCTTTTCGCACAGTCGTGTCGATGGACTCATTTTAATTCATGGTTCTAAAAGGGTTGCGCGCGTTGCAGAGCAATTCACCTCCAGAACATCAGGTGGAGTAAAGTTTTCTGTCGAGAATGACGTCTTTGTGTGTGGAAGTCGTTGGTTGGTTTATTTATTTATCATAGACTTTATTGCCCCGTGCATCCACACTGCTGCTTTTCATCACGGACACATTTGTCCCGTATTTTCCTCCACGACTTTGTTCCCCTCGTTGGTGGAGATCTCCCTCCATGAGTCAGAGGCCATCCGGCGTCCTCATAGTCCGCCAGTGACGGCTTGTACAAGCGCTCATATTTAAAAGCTCTTCAATCTGATCCGTTCTCTCTTCCAAAAATCTTCCTTTTAGAAATGGCCGTATTTTTGCTATGAAACCAGAAATGTGAGACTCCGGAAAGGACGCAGTTAGCGGACCAATCACGGCCTTGCGGGCTGCAGGAGGCTTGCGTAGCTTTTGACGCTAGTCTAGAAAAATTGGTCGACGCACGCAAGGAGGGGTGAAAAGACACGCAAGGGACACGCAAGGAGCTCTATAAATTAGGCTTCAGGATCCGTGCCTTCGTCGAATTACATAAGCGGACAATAAATGCGAGCGGAGCGGGCCGCGTGCGTCGTGCTCGCTGACATCTATATTTGGCTTCCAGCAGGAAAAGGCTGAGCACGTGGGAGCGCGGTGTGAACTGTGTGATATCCCCGTGTCAACACACAGTCAGCATGCAGAAGTGCCACCGACGTGAAAGGGCTGCTGACCTCGCCCGTTTCCCTCCCAGTGCCATCAAGGCCGCCGTGCTGCGGCGCTCCTCCACCGCCGTCCGGTTGCGCTGGAGAGAAGGAAAAAAAGGAAAAGAAAGAAAAGGTGTTGAACGGTGGGCCCCTCCGGGCCGCCCGCCCTCCGACACGGACACTTATGAGAGTCAACAGCGGTGTCAGCAGTGCGACCAACATGCATCACGATGCTGTCTCGCATATGCCCCCCGCCAAGCAACGTTATCTGTCCACACACACACACACACACACACACACACACACTCGCAGCCCGGAGAATACATTAAGCACAGGCCGCGCAGCGACCTTGCAAGGCACTTTTCTCCTTGGACTGCACATTTCAGAGCGTGCCAAATTCAGGTACATGCTGCACACAGAGTTCTGGGGCGGCGGGTGGCTGTGATTGGTCTCACGAGTCGTGCAACATGATAGCGTTTGATTGAAAGCACAGAGTCCCAAATTGAATCCCACTAAGCCCGCCCCTTCGTAGACAAGCGCTGATGAAAGATAACCGCCTCTGCATTAATCAAAGAGATGGAGCATTTTGATCCCACTTTCAATTAGATTAGATTACATAAAGTTGCACAAAACACGATATCAATTATCAACGGGTCATTCAGTTTGATCTCTTGCCCGATGCCCCCAGAGTGAACATCCCATTGGACAGCCGCCGGGTGAAAGACACGACTTTCAGCTATTACGTTTCTTAATAGCTGTGAGGGGACTACGAGCAGTTTTTCTCCAACTCTGTCTTCATTTTGTTTATATCTCCACTATCTTAACTTTCTTCTTTTGGTTACGTCCTTTAGCTCCACGGAGAGTTTGAATATTTCAAAACAAGGATAATCCGAATTGCTGATCAATGACAAGTGTCAAGTGCCACGCGGGTCTTATTACAAGACACAAGCACATTTACACTGTGTGTGTGCGTGTGTGCGTGTGCGTGTGTGTGTGTGCTCTGACTATAAGTGGGATGTGATGCTGCTCACTGTTTGTTTAGGATTACCAGAGCCTCTCAGGAGCGGATGGTTTGATTTGTAGGAGGAGGGGAGCGGCGTCGCTCCCATCACGTACTCACATGTGCCACAAAACGCCAATAACTTGGAAAACAACAGGCTTGCCGGGGAGGAGGTGAACAAAAAGTCACCCCCTGTCAGTTTATTGTATATGGAGATGGAAAAAGTATTTCTTTTTTTTTTCTTTCTCGCTCAACTGAAATATCTCGGGTTTCACAGATGCAATCTCCTCCACGGGGTCGTCTCGCTGTAGTTAATTAGATGTCGGCAGCACAACCAAGGTAATTTAACCTTCATCAGCCTGTATCACATGAGATGATAATGTTAGGGAATTATTTATTGCATATTTTAGCGAGACATAAAAAAGCTTTACTCTGAGACTGAGTCACGATGAATGAATAGAATGCAAAATTCAAATAGTTAATGAAACTGTGTGAGCTGGTTAAGGAACACCGTGTGTGTGTGTGTGTGTGTGTGAGGAAGACACATACACCTAAACATTGACGATAAATAATCCTTAGGATCAAACGTGCAGTAAACAGCAATTATCTAAGGGCAATGTGATCAAAATCTCCCACCTCCTGATCAATAGAGGCTCCTCTTTATGCAGACAGGGAGACAACTGATTGGCTCCTCAATTACTCCTCAGTGCTCGTGACATTCAGAAAGCGCTTTGAGAGCAGAGGAGTCTGGAGCTAATAACCTGAAAGTGAAAAAACAACATATGGACATAGTTCACAACATGGCGTATCACAAATCACACGCTAATATTTGACTACAGGCGAAAATCAGGCACTAAAAACACGGGACACCTCAAGCAGCACGTATGACAGTATGCTGTTGAGTGGTGAGACGTTCACACAGTAATCTCTTGTGTTTGATGGTCTTTCCTTGCATTTTCACGCCAGGGTCATTTAAATACAATGAGCAGGGGTAAACGAAACAAGACAATAGGCCAATGAAAGGTGACCTCAACAGGCGTAAAACTACTGCGGGTTGTTGTGATCCGAAATGGATGAGATATTCTCTTGTGAGAGGTAATTAAATTTGTCTGGAGGGACAGCTCGGACACATCGATGACAGTCATGTTACAGTTAAATTAACTACCAAAGCAGTATCTGCAGTTTGGCATTGTCTACATAACCATAACAGCAATGCTTTTTATTAATCCTATATAATATTATTTTCTCTCTCTCTCTCTCTCTCTCTCTATATATATATATATATATATATATATATATATATATATATATATATGTAATTGTTTTGTTGTTAATTAACCTGTATATATTAATCTATTCTATCCGTGTGTGTCTGTGTATATAATATATATAGACTAATTAGTTATTTAAAGTTGATTAACACTACTTTCCAGATGAGAGATGAAATGCCATAACGTCTGGTAGGACCACCAGAAACCGCCACACACTGCGCGTGAATGCTATAATTCTCTGTCATTGGGGATGGTGGTTTGAGGGGGGGTGAAGTAGTCGGTGTGGCCGGCAGGGAGCGACAGTGAGCGGGCGCTGTGTGCGCGCGGGCCCGGGTGGGAGGGGGGGGGGGCAGCAGCCTCAGTACCAGGCGCCGCGCGCCGCTCACTGCTGGCTGGACTCATAAGGAGGAGGAGGCTGCCTCGCGCTCGCTGCTGCCTTTTGTCGTAGAAGGAACCTGTGGTTTATTTTTTGTTGCTTTTCTGTCCTCGCGGATATTGTTTTGATTTTTTTTTCCTCCCTCCCTCCCTCCCCGCAGCCGCCGCCGTGTTTTCTAAATACAAACATATTTTTGTTTCGGCGGCACGCACGGATTCCGAAAGGAGGGTAACGCGAGCGGTCGCGGGCGCAGCGATGTTCTCGCTCCGGGAGAGCGGCGGTCTGTCGCTGCTGCTGGTCTTGGCCGGACTGCAGGTAAGCGTCCTTCTCCGGACACTTTCCGCTGCCCTTCGTCCTTCGGTGGCGACGACGACGACGACGTGTGTTGAGCTCCGGCCCCCCGCGTGGAGCCGCTAGCTTCCACTCGGCGGCGGCGGCGGCGCGGACTCGGCGGCGGCGCGGAGCCGTGCGCGCTCGCCCGCTGCACGTGCTGCGCTCGCCCGGTTAACGGTTCTCTCTCCTTAAAAAGAAAAGTGCACTATGCGCACGAGGCGCCCGGTGTTCGTCTCCACCGAGTGGTTTCACTCGTTTGAGGAGTTTTAATTCGGTTGTGTTTAGTTTAACGTGTACGCACGTCGCTGTCCCGCGATTGCCGCTCTGGTTAAAAAGAAAAAATCCGTCACGAGCAACGGTGAAAAGTATCCCGATGTAAATCCAGGTTACCGTCCGACTGAAAGCCGACTCGCTGCGATGATGCGGCGGCCGCTGTGTGTTTTTCTTCTTCTGAGCACGTTTAGCGCGCGTCGCGTCTCCGTGAGACGCTCCGGCCTCCAGCGGCCGCCGCGCGGCAGCGGCTCGGTGCGATCAACGCTTAAAGCGCCGCGGACACTTTAACGCGGATCCTAAAGCCGCGCATCGTGGTCCGGCTGCTGTTAGACGTGCTAATCCAGCTCCTCTTCCCCCCTTTCTGAAAACTGTTTTCCCCCCTTACTTAAACTCCCGTGACAAAAACATGGCACCCGCAATGCTCTTTATTTAGTTTTATTTTTGCAGCTGGACTAGTTTTTAGTCTCTCTGCAAACCAACAGGGCCTCTGGATCCACGCTGAGGGTCAACATGCCTGCGCATCAGTTGTGCTCTGGCTTGTGGTTTCGTACTTTGTTTGTCCTGCTTTAGTGATGTACGCCAGCCCCAGTCATTTAGATTTATTCATTTCCCTGCTTTGCCACATCGCCGTTATCTCCCCCTCCCAGAAAAAAATCTTTTGTCGCACACCCTAAAGCCGAGTTTTCCTTATCGAGACGAGGCAAAAAGAGATAATATATTTCATTATGTAATATATATAATCAGAGATAGTCCCGCTCGACATCAGCAGTTGTTCTGTGTTGTTTATTCAGACATTGACACTTGAATGTTTATTGCACACAACAGTGGGTCGTTAGCCTTTTACTTTTTATTGCTTTGTTCCCTCCAACGAGGAGTGTTTTGTCCCGAGTGAGCGTGTGTTGATCAGACGGACTTGGTTGTGGCCCGTCCCTGGACCCGGGGCCCCTGCAGGGGTACAAATGGAGCTTGTTCGTGCCTAGCCTCGCTTTTTTTTTTCTTCTGGCTAATGCTTAACCCTTTTGGCCTCATTATCCTAATTGCGGCCCCTGCTGCAAAAACAACAGATGCTTTTGTACAACTGTGGGGACTTGGGAACGCGACCAGGAGGTTCAACACAGTGCGTTTTTTTTCATTTTTTTTTTTCAAGGTTGATTTTATGACTCATTGTTGACCCCCTAAAATCAAACAAACAGCTGGGGCAACATCGCAAACAGAGCGCTCTTTATCCGTGAACGAGATTTGGAGCCGCTTGCTCAAACAGCCGCCCCCCCCCTCCTAAAAAAGGGCCGACTCACAGGGAAGAGCAACGGCCCCGAAGCCCACAAACCGGCCCCAGGTAAAGTAAACAATTCACTCCGTACTGCTGATGGACTGTCTCGTAGGTGCAAGCTGACATTTCCTTCTTCCTCACATATTTCTTTTAATAAAGGCAAAGCCAGCCGGGTGATACAGCGGGGCGGCTGCAGAGAGCTGCGCACACACAGCCTCATCACGGGGATCTGCTGCACTTCCTGGACAGGAAATGATTGTTTTAACAGAATGAATAAATCGTTTCCCTTTTGACAGTCTTGTAAATTGAAGCGCGCACATGAAGCCGCGGCGACCCGGCATCGGGGCTGAGGGGGCCCAGGTGTGATCCAGAACCAAATAACCTATAAAACCCCTCTAACCTTCACATGACCGCGTGAAGGAGCAAATACTGCCTGTCCTTGCTTTTTTTTTTCCCCCCACATCCGCATCGGACCCCTCGAGGGGGCCGTGATGGACGACGACACTCGGGATTCGGCAAATGTAGTTACACGCAACCTTGTGGAAAGACGAGTTACATCTGCATCTGACCAGTCGCTGCTGGGATCCGGGGTGCGGATTCATTACCAACTGCCTTGCTGACCGAGGTGTCCGAAGGTCGTTGACTCAAGCAGCTAGTCATAGA